GAGTGCCCGCCTTTCTTTCCCCCCGCCAGCCGTTGTGGCGATCCGCCGCCCTCGCGCGAGATACCGGGTCGAGCCGCAGGAAAACCGTATCGACCGAGCACCTGAACGACTCTCAGCTGTCGAAACAGACAAAAAAATACTCGGCTGTCCGCCGTTTTAAGCCCGTTTCCGGATTTGATGTGGATACTAAACTTTTACATTTCGCCAAATCCCCATTTGGCGCAATATTTAAGTGTTAAAAATTATGGAATTCGATTATGAAACGACGAAACAAACTCGCCACAATAACTTTAAATTTGACAATAAGAGTTCACGTGTAACGATAAACTATACGACTATCTTTTTTTCACATTATTAACTGTGTAGCTCCATCTCGCTTTTTAGATGATAGCGTTGGCGAGCCGGAAACGACAACCAATGTTAAAAAACTAAAACCACTATCTTGCCGTGCAACCGCCATTCAACTTTGTGTACTTTAATAAGAATTTAAACGATTGAGATTTACCACGCAAATGTACTGCAAGAAACCAGACTGGTACGTTATAAACTCGCAGTAGACCCCCGGGCCTGCGCTCAGCGGCTAGACTGTCTGCGATCACATTGTATGCTTCGTCCTTTTGTAAACATCGCTCCTAACGTGGATACACTTACCTTACAATTGAAATACTTCCAACTTAAAATTAATTTGAAAATAAAAATGCAAATGAACTCGAAATATAATTAATTTTTATTTAATATGCAAACTGCAAAATGTGAATTAATATAATTTTAATTACACAAAACGCGTAGTACTACTCTTAATCTTTATAATCTAAGCTTCGGAAATGCTAATAATATTACACCATAATATTATACTTATCTCGCTCAACAGATAAATGCGCAATTTATACTTTTGATTTAAGGCATGAGGCATGATATTCACTTACACATGTATAGATATTTAGTGGCACCCGCTGTATACTTGAATTCACGGATATCCTTGAAAACTGTAACTACTTATCAGTTTACCCTAACGGTCAAGGAAAGAAGTTAATTGAAGTAACGTTATACCTGATTAAAGGGTTCTTAGTAATAATTATACTCGGAAGCTAGAACTGCATAACGTAAGTAGTACGAAAATATGCACCAACCCCTCAAATCGCACTCACTGCAACAGGCAACGAACGAAGAATAAACCACTTCTGGGGGTCTACTCTCGACCTCCGTCCGACATCCGTCCGAAACAATTACTGTCAAATAAGTAATATTCGACAAAATTAAAAGACAAGCATTAAGTATGAAGCTTCATTCGCATCACGCGTCTCTTCATTTGGTCAAGTGTTGCCTATTTGGCAGTAATTGTTTCAGACGGATGTCGGACGGAGATCGAGAGTGGACCACCTGGTCCCCCAGGAGTAGGAAACGTTATTATCAAATAATGCTTAGTTTACCGCGCACATATTTTGACGTGCAGTACGCATCCTCTGTCGTTTCAATCTAACCCCTTTAGCAAACATAATTTCCTTAGAATTCAAAACTACCAAAAGTAGGCAGCAATTAATAGGATTATTATTACATAGAATATTTATACTAAAACGATTTATAAATTTATATTAAATTTTTTTAAGCACTAAGTGACAGTAATATATAATTTTGACGTTAAAGTAAGTTTATAAAGGCATTAAGGCGTTATTTAAAACGAGTTATAAAATTCATACCCTACGTCCTACCGCCAGTACCCATGGGCCCAGTACTATTGGGCCACGGCAAAAGCAAGCGGTCAAAACAAATGAAAAGATAACATGAAGTACACAAACTGAGGAAACACAAGTTTGCTTATAGCTGTTACTTTACCTAAGATTAAAAGGTTTGATTACCGTTACATTATTCAGTTTAGTGCATATTTTATGCGGTGCCTTGAGCCTGCTATCTACAATCGTGTGTATTTATCTTGCAGAAATGAGCGTAGCTACGCAATAATGATCCAACCTTTATTAACCATTACATAGTTTAAATTTTCACATGTCAACCTGTCAAAGACCTATATCGATATTTCTGAAATTACTTCAAATAAGTCGCAATGATTCTTGAATTTTTTGTTCATATTCTAACAAGAATTATAATTTAATTATCCACTAAATAAATAAATGTTTAAAAACTTTTTTAATCCCTCTAAATATTTTCTGTTTATAATGGCTTACTTTGAAACCAGGTCATACATGTGATCGTCTAGCCAATTATTTACTATTCTTAAAGTTATAATTATTATATACAATGTCTCGCAGCAATGCAGTCCCTCGACTACATCCCAATTTCTGACCCTTTAAACTAAGAATCAACGCTGTCAGAATGATTTCTACAAGATCACTTTATTAGGCCTTTGTACTGCCTACTAGTAACAAACAAAATGGGAGCTTGGAGATCTGTAACACAGGTCTGGTTACCTAGTATGGTCTCCAGTCTCTCACTTAAGGTAGTTAACTTGTAGCTTAATTGAAATAATAACCAATCTGGAATTATGCAACCTTCCATTTGTGAGAGTGAATAAATATCTTATTATATTATCTAAGTAGACAACTTGACCAGTTGATTGATAAATAAACAACGTACAATCTACAAAAGTAAAATCGATTTGGTGGCATTTGTGATCATGAGTTTTGACCTCAGCCATGTGGTTTGGCAGTTTTGACCTAATGATAAGTTCATAACATTTGACTTGGGGTACGTGTCTTGACATTTTTATTTATGAAATTAAACTTATCCCATATGATTTAGCCAGCTCTATGTGTTTTAATCTAATCTCAAAAAAAAAATAGTCATCAAATATTACAAAAAGTCTATTTTTTCAAAATTAAATCATTGTCGCGTAACTACGTCCAAATTACGTTCATCGATTGTGTTTCTTACAATTTGTAGCTGTGTGTATCTTCATGTGTGTACCACTTATACAAGTTGCCACTAAATAAATTGTCCGTTTCACTTATTACCTAAATGTAAAGTTTTAAGCCATTCAAGTAACGTTCACTGATGTCGTAAACCTTTTAATCTATTGTTTTCTCATAATTTATTGTCTTTGAATACGGAAATGCGCACTCGGGGCAATCATTTATTGTTGTTAAACCTATAAATAGCATTTTTAATTTAATCTAATCTTCACCGCGTCGAACTTCTTATTGAATCGGAGGATGATTTTATGAATTCTGATAACGTACTTTAAGAGATTTAACCTCCAATTTCATTAAATTACTTCAAAACCAGTTTATATCGCGGGATCGAGCAAGACCGACGAATTGAGCGACATTATGGGGATTGAAATTCGCAGTTCCTTTTGCTCATTGAATCTCGATAAGTCCGGTAGTTACTGTATAACTTAAGAGGCACGTACACCACCACAAAGTTTTGCAGCACCAACGTCCTGAGCGACATCTGCCGTGCGGCAGCGGCGTTTGGGTGGGCGTCCGATGTTCACTCCGCCGGCACCAGTCCCAGTTGGGCCAGGTCTCGCATGACGATGTCGAACGCGTCCGGTTTGCTGCCGTCCAGGAAACGCACGCGGGCGTCTTTTTCTATCTGCGAACACGTTTACGCGTAGAGGAAAAGGGGACGTCAGGAGACCGAACAAAATTGTTCCGGATTTTGTTCTAGGCCTTGTTAAAAATAATTACAGACGAACGGGAAAACGAACTATCGCGGCGAATTGAAAACTTTTAGGGAGGATTTTGGTCGGCGCTCGGCCGCGTAGTGCTCTTTTTGAAATATTGAAAACGAGAAAAGCAGCAAGGAAGCTCCGGCGAACGAACGGGCGCGAAGGAGGAGAAAGAGCGGTACCTCGGCGCGGTACTTGAGGTGCTCCGGCCACACGCAGCGCTCGAAGTAGCCCGGCACGTCGGGCGGCTCGTACAGGCGCAGCGCGCGCCGCGCCTGGCACTCGCCCGCCTCCAGCACCAGGTAGTACCTGCACACGCCAGCGTCAGCCCGCGGCCCGCCCCGCCCCGCCCCGCCCCGCCCGCCCACCTCAGGTCGCACAGCTCCATCAGCGGCTTGTAGTTGAGGACGCTGAAGCCCTCCACCACCAGCAGCCGCTTGCCCTGCAGCAGGCGCCGCGCCCCCGCCGGCGCCGGCGCCGTGGCCGCGCCCGCCAGCGCCGCCAGCGCGTCGCTGCAAGCCGCGCTCGCTCAGGGCCCCGCCGGGCCTCGGCCGGCCGAGGCCCGCCGCCGCACCTGTGCATGGCGTCCATGTCCAGCGCCGACAGCACGTCGTAGTTGTTGTGCGCCAGCCCCTCCACGGGCACGTGGCGCGGGCTGTCGTCGGGCAGGAAGTACTTGTCCTGCTGCAGCAGCGCGGCCGGCGTCAGCGCGCCCAGCAGCCGCTGCGCCAGCGTCGTCTTGCCGCCGCACGTCACGCCTGCACACGCCTCGCGCTGACCGACCCGACCTCCGCCCGACCTCCGCCCGACCTCCGCCGGCCGCCCTCCGAAGGACTCACCCGAGATGCCCACCACGAACCAGTGCTGGCGCTCGGCCATGGCGCCCGGTCCGTCTCGGGGGTCGGCCACGCTGCGGACGCACTATTTGCCCGCCTGAGCCGCCTGTAGAACGGGTTGCAGTGGCTCTCGTCGGATCACAGGTACGGCTTCAGATGTGAGAGCGTGAAGGCCATGAGCCCCCCGACGAAGAGCAGGCCCCAGCCCGCGCAGGCCAGTAGCGCCCACTGCGGCCGCGGTTGCCACGACCGGCTCGCCCACAACTCTGTAAGCGATGATCCAAAAAAATTCATTCCAGTAGAAACTAGTCTAAAACTAGAAACAAGACTCTAAAAAAGGAAGCAGCCAATTGAAAATGACGATGGAACCCCGACTAATTAAAAATTATAAATCATCCATTCACTATATCAGATATTCAGTAAGAGATAATAACCACAACAGAATGTTCAATCGCCATGTTAAAGCGGTAGCTCCCATTATTTTTTAAATTATCAAATTGACTTCTAATGACATACTAGTTAAATAAAACCAGTCTCACCTTCGTCAATAAAAGGATAAGTGTTGATCAAAAATATGAAAACCAAAAACAGAGAAGTAGTCACTCCAAGCAGCAGCTTGCCCACAACTGCATCGGGTACGTCCATGCACCTGACAGTTGTTGGTTAGCTGCAGAAATATTCTTTCTTGAACTTTTTAAATGACTCCTGCGGCTCGTCCGGGAATAATATAGATTTTTCTTCTTCAACTTTCACTTCAACTTTGTCCAGCAAAGGTTTTCCTCTGACAGCCCGATCTACTATCTGCAATTCAATAATAATAAAATACTCGATTGGCTATATTTTCCACATGCAAAATAGGCGCTTTGTCGTCGAGTTGCGGAAACCAGCCCGTTGCACCAAGTACCAAGTAGATTGGCTAAAATAAGAAGAATAAAGCCTGCAAGTAAAACTCAAGCTCAGTGTGTCCTGCCAGCATCTTACACAATCATCATTAACCACAAAATTTGCGAAATCCGTAAGTCCTAATGAGGTCTGCAATTGAATAAAGATATGATCTCAGCTCTGCAGCTCAACTTATTGCTTTCCATCCCCAAAATCATCACATCACATCATTAAAAATGAAATAGTGTCAATATTCTTTTACCTACATTAGATGCAAAGATATAAGAAAGAAATTAGGTAAGTACCATTGTTAGTTAAATAACTTAATAAATCTATGTGTGCCTAAGTTCAACATTTTACATGTATCATTTGTCTATCACTTGATATATTAAAAAACAAGTTAACATCTCTGGTACCTTTCTAGCAATAGCTTCGTCTGTAGAGGGTTTAGAAAGTGCCAGAAGCTTCTTGATGTTTTGCTCGGCAATCTGTTCCACAGATTTACTCTCTTTGGTTGCAGATTTCTTGTTCCTGCGGATGTATGGCTGAAAATTGTCTACATGCGACAAAGTTTCGATTACTACATCAAGTTAGAGAGTATTTATTGAAGCTTGTTGTGCCAAGAGAGCACACAATATTATTAAATACTGAGATGCCGTTATCTTGCAATTATTAAGTGCCTTGTCGTACTACAAGCGTCATTGTATTATGAAATGCCGCTTTAAAGCTACAGTGATAGGAGTGAACTGATGCAATGTCGTCTAAATATTATTGTACATGATAATTTGTTATTGGACACGGCACCTTGACCGACTGCCCTCCGCCGCGCCGTCGCTGTGCGCCGTCCGCTGCGCGTCCCGCCGCTCTCTGCGATAAACAACACGTCTTTACCATATAACCTACACCACATCTCCACGTGCGGAAATAAATACAACGCCACAGTTAAGCACTCATTCTACCTTCCTGATCGACGAATTCGAGCGCCTGACGTACTAAAGCTGAAGACATTGTAGTCCGAAACACGTTGAATACATTTATTTCACCGAATGAAACAAATTTTCACAAAAATTCAATAAAAGAAATTTACATTTACATACTCTTCTAAGGTCCACTAAGACATAATAACTTAAAAACTGTCAATCAACACGTCAAAACAAACAGAAATGTCATATCAACGTCAAAATTATGTTTTTGCGTTTTGTTAATGCAAAGATCTCGAAAAATTTGATAATATGGCTACTGTTTTCCGAAAATCAAGCAGTGTAAATTTTTCTGGAAAAATTCCCGAAAAATTGGAAAAATTACAATTAAAAACGAAGGCTCATATTATGTTCCACGGATAGAAATTTCTTTTTAAGTTTTATTTAGCGTGAATTAAAATAAACGTGTACAGCTAAAAGACACATACTGAAAAACGAGATTTAAAATGATTTCACAACAGCGAAAAAAAACTTAGTGGCTCCATTATTTTCGTTCAATTTGAAGTAATTTTAACTTTTGACTAGTGTCAAACATAGTTCTCAACGTCAAATGTGCAAAATTAAAGGAAAAACATTGGAAAAAAATATACGAAAAATAATCATTTTTTGCCCTGAACTGAATTTTCCATAACCCAACACTACAAATAATCCACTTATTTGACAGTAGACCTGGGTCGGTCGATCATTTGTGATAACCCGGGTCGATCATGACCCATGCGTAATGTGATCGGGTCGAATAATTCGATCATATGTTCGATCTTTTAGCAGGTCACCCGTCACTCACGATAATTCCCTAAGGCATTTAAAAGTGTCAAATTATACAATTAGCTTTTATTCTTTTCTGCTGATTAGTATGAGTAGACGTATAAAGTTAAATACATCACTGATAAACCATAATTAAGAAACTAAAATTTCTTCATTATTTCATTCAATATTACTAATTTATTATTCATTAATATTTTTATATTAACTAGTGCACTCATAAATAAACACAACATACCGAAAAATATATTAAACTTACAAAATTACCATGTAATGGATACTACGCTACGGAGCAATTAGGATGAATGCTTGTTATACTCATTGATCCGTTAAACCGTCGAATCGTTGATCGATTGCTTGACTTTTTAGTTTGCTCGAACGAAGGTTCTATCGAACCATTCGATCGAACAATAAATGTTCGACCCAAACGAAGAGTGAGAAGGCGAACCGTGTCGTGTGTGGGGACTTCACGTGAGAGTGAACGAGACAACAATAATATTGTGAATTGTTGAATAATCTCTAAAATTATAGTGATAAAGTTGAATATTGCGCGCATGACTCATGACACTCTTGAATTATATGGTTATTTAGAAGCTAGTAACTCGGGTTATCGGGTCACAGGTGCTGTTCGAATCATTTTGATTTGGTCGATCACGATCGACACACGTCTTTTTGACAGTGACTAATAATAAATCTCGTATACATTTTTATTTAGACTTTAAACTGTTGCAGTTTTTGTATGCTGTACCGTGCGATCAACGGTGACAGCTCATCAGCAGGTGGAGTTGAACGTCGCGAGGACCCTGGCCCAGCACCGCATCCGCACTCTCCTCATACACACCATCCCAGATACGAAGTTAGAAACATTTCCTTTTTTATGCCATGATCGGGCTGACGATTATTGTATATAATCATAGTATCGGTAATGGGATTCGAAATTAAAACTATAAACAGAGATGTTGCCAATGCAAAAAAAATATTCTAAGACTGGTGCGAATGTGAAAAAGTCTAAGGCTGATTTCACTTCAAGCTTGACACTTTGGACTTTGGACCGTTCTTATTGCAAGCGGCATAGAGTTAAATTTAAATCTTTAGTGTCAAGCGTGACGTGCCCTTGTCCCTATCGGTCCGTACGATCTGTTCGCCTGCCGTACGGACAAAGATCTCAGGAGAAGAAATAAAGCACAATATAGAAAAATTCGTAAGGTCCACTGGTTTGTTCCGAGGCTTGAAAGACATGGCGTGGAAGACGTTGCAGTTGGTTCGAACCCAGCCGGGTCGAAGGAATTTTTTCTAAGTGTTTGAGCTTTGTATTAATTTAAAATTATAACAAATTCTTGGAGTAATTTCACAAAAATAATTAAACATCATGGTGGTCAAACATCGTGACATTCAATAAAACTTAAAAATTACTACAAAATAGATAAACAAACATAAATAATTGAATTTTTTGTTAGAAAATATATAAAACCTAGAGTTTACAGAGTTGTACTTGAATTTAGGTACATACAATTGTACGTGAGTAGGTACTCACATACAATTGTATGTACATACGTAGTATTTATGAAAACGAATCTGATTTTTATATCATCTATGAGATGTCACATTGACAGTGGCAGTTATTTGTTTACATTTTTCATCTCGAATCCGATTGCGGAGTGTATTGTTCTTGTAGTAGGTATAAAAAACGTAATTTCATCCATACGAAGGTCACCCTACGTACTGTAGTACGTTATATCTAGCGTAGAAAATTATTTTAGCATTAATTGTAATTAAATGGTAATACTTTATATACAAAAGGTATACTTTTTACTTTTCTTTGTTGTAACTAACACTTTTTACTTAAGGGTCCTCCCACACCGTGCCCAGCTCGCGTGGAATACGCGACGCCGGTGTTCGCTCGTAACTACCAGGGCGTTTGGCGATACGTGGTCCAAATTCCCTACGAGGGCTATTTCACGCAAACTGTAGAAGTCACAAGGTATGATATTTGAAAAAGACCTTTACTGTGATAATAAACAAAATTTTGAAGGTACAAATAAGATAACTTTTGCAGATGTATGCAATCTCGTTGCCACTACTTAGAAGGCGGCTGCCTTAGCTCACCGCGGTGGGTGTCGCTGCTGGTGGCCGAACTCCATTACCCTCAGGTACCAATTGCAGCGTGCCGTTTATAAAGTTTAAGCACTTAACTGTCGGAACGAACGTCGCCGTAGCCGGGCACTTACCCGTTCGAAAGTGTACATTGAATGTGGAGACGACGCCGCGGCCTTGCAGGAGTACCAGCAGACGCAGTACCTGCAGCGGCGCGCGGGCGTCGCGAGCAGCGAGGAGGCCGCGGCCGCCACCGACAAGCCGCCGCACTGCGACGGGCACGACGAGCTGGGCTGCTACCAGGTAAGTCCTCGGCGCGGCCCCGGCCGCCGTTCAGTGCGCTCACCGCCACGTGTCGCAGGTGCGGCTGTACTACGACTGGTTCCTGGTGCCCGGCTCGTGCAAGTGCTGGCGGCCCGACTACTTCGCGCGCTACGTGCGTCGCCGCCACTCCACCAACGAGCTCTGAGACTTCGTCGGACCGTCCCTCGCGTCGGTGCCGAACCGAACGTTTGCCGACGAATGCGCCGTCTGACCCTTTCGTCGGCCCGGTTCGTTCGGTTCGGTGTCTTACGATTTGATAAGAAATTTTGCAATAATAGTTTACGTCTCGATTTGTTTGTTTTGGCGAAGCGACGCGATAACAACTAGGTAGATGACACTTATTTCTCCAGTGGTGCTAATTCTGAGTTCAGGAGTTGTGACTTCAAGACTGTATTTTATAAAGCTGTTATTATTAATTGTAAGCGTAACGTAGGTACCTACACCAAAACATTGTAGACTTACGAGAAAGGACAGATCTCTGTTATCGACTAATTAATAACTGTAATCGGCAATATTAGATAATTTCGTTGCTTCGAAATCGACAATTTGTTCAACTGTACGGTTTATGTACAAAAGTACATTATTTAATAGATCAGTATGGTTTGAACGTTAGCTCAATGTGCATTTATATTTTTAGTTGTAGATGTAGGTTTCGAGTTACTTATATAATTTAGTATTTAATGGTAAGTATTTGCAATTTTATTCCAACTACTTAGCTGTAATTTATTAATAAAGCACTTAAATTATTAATTGGTGTTGAATAAAAGTCACAGTAGAATTATTTCCCTTTAATGTTGAATACTTTTTTCAAAAATTTGTGAAACGAAATCTAATTCCTACGAGTTGGACTGTCAGATCTTTCTGTTTTAGTGCTGCTACGGTCGAGTTAATCGGGGAACTTGGGTGTAAAAGACCGAGCGTATTGTACCTATTCCAAAGATTACAATGCAGTTTATGAAATATTCACAGCGCCTACGAAACCTAGGGTATAAAAATAATAACATAAAAGTGGATGTCTAAAGTCTACGTCTAATAGATAATAATATCAAAGATCTGTAATCGCTTAACTCCTCACGTCCACGGCATGTTCTTAGCGGAGATCGGCAATCTAAGAAAATTCACAACTTGTGTACGCGATTAAGGACCCTATTCTAAGCTACGAGAGCACTGCGCCGAGGCATGTCTTCGATCGCATTCACTTCAACCACGTGGTCACTCTCCACGTTATTATCACTCAACGCGACGGCAGCGACAGCCTCGTTCTCGGAATCTCCATCCACTATTCTCCCGTTTTCGAATACCAGTCGTCTTTCGTTTGCGTTGGCTTCGTTCTCTTCACAACCTGGCGAGTGACCGGCAGAAGTGCTAGGTGCCGGTTGCCCCGTGTCGATGACGGCGCCGGATTGGCCCGCGGCCGCCGCGGAACTGAACAGTCGTTGACGACGGCTGTTAAAAAAATGTACCGAAGGGATTCCATCTTTCGGATTGGAGTAGGTGACGTAGCAAGCGGAGTACGGCGGGGGCGGCTCCTCTATCGTGTCTCGTGTTCGTGCGCATTCGGAGTACGGCGGGGGAGGGTCGGGATCCAGCGGCGGAGGCCGACCGGACTCTGGCGGGAAGGCGTCGTCGAGAGGCGGTGGCAGCTCCAGGTCTCGTCTGTGTCGCACTGGAATATTAAACGTCGGTCAGTTCGCGGCGAAGGCGAAACCCGGTACGCGGGAGAGGCGGCATGGACACTCACGGTCGGTCGCGAGCACGTTCGGCGTCGGCCACTCCTCCGATCGCCGGCGCGTCACTGAAACGGAAGCGGACAGGTGTCCGTGAACAGAAAACGCACAAAGGCGAGGCGACTCGGCCCAACTTACGCTTGAAGAAGCGCTTCTCGAGGCACTTCTCGGCGCCGCGCGCCAGCAGCACCAGCAGCGCCAGCAGCACGGCGCCCACGGGCAGCGTGCGCGCCGCCGCCTCCCACCAGCCCGCCTCGGGCGCCGGCGCCGACGGCCGCGGCACGGCCACGTGGAACGACTGCGGACAGCGGCGGTCAGCGGCGGCCGGCGGCCGGCGGCGGTCGGCGGCGGCCGGGGCGGCTACTCACCCGCAAGTCGGGCAGGCGCCACGGGCCGCCGTTCTCCTGCAGCTCGCGCGGGAGGCCGCGGACCCACGCCGCGGGGACCGTGGGGTACGGCCCCGCCTCCGCCGCCGCCGGCCGGGCGGACAGGGAGTTGTCCAGCCTGAAATTAGGGGTTTTCTGGTAAGTGCCGGTCGAAACTGTCGACAACGACAGGTTATAGTTCAGGAACGAGGTAGCGCGGCAGTCGACGAACGAGTCTCGAGATCTTGCATGGCGAAACGTAGCATTTCGTTGATGTTGATTTCCTTTTCTTAAGTTAATCGTGGAGGAACCACGAAATGACGGTATCTAATAACGAATACACGGGCGGTGACTTTCTCACCACCCGACGGCCCGGATTGTCTGCAGGTTCACGAACAATAATTAAAAATAAACTCGCCTGATTAAGTGTCGTATCTGGTTAGGTGTGTAGACGGTGATCGCAGGCCGCGACAGGCGCCAGTCGATCTTGAGACTGCGCAGGTCGCGGAGGTCGGCGAGATCCTGCAGCGAGAGGCGCACGCGCCGCCGTCCGAAGCGGTCCAGTTGGTGTCGCTCCCACCCGTGCCACGCCGACCACGGTCGCTCAGTGTTCGTGCTCGACTGCATAATCTGCCGTATCCACCTGCAAATAAATAATGTTTTGAAAACTCTGTAAATTGTTTTATTCGGCTCGAAACATATCGCTATAGCTTCAAGTAGGTAGGATTAAAAATGTGATTTTCTACTGAAACGGCGTCATTAGAATAAAATTCACATTCGAATCTCGAACAGTTCAAAATAGGATTATATTTATGTTATGAAAATATGTTAATCAACTTCCAAAAATATGCAGGTGATTGCAGGCAATAAAAAAACTTAACATGTTTTGTTGTACTGTGTGTGAGCGTGCGTTGTGCACCAGGTAACATACGGAGTAGCCGATTTGAGGACGTGATTAACGCAGCCGACGAGGCATAGCCAAGCAGTACCATGACATAAGAACGTACACACGAGTGCTTTACACTCGACAACTGCTTGGTACGCACGTCACTCTACTTCTGGACACGAGTCGTCGACATAACACGCACCACAGCGTGCGGCAGTAACTTGCTTATGAATGTTGGTCTGGAAAAGAGCGTAATAATATCGAACGTGGATCTGTCTACGGTCAAGTAAATGATTGACGTTTGATTTACCAAGAACAACCACAACTTTTCCATTACTGCCTGGTTCATTTTAATGTGTATTTTGTTGCCAGCCATTTTTAAAAGCATTAGGTATTACCTACACGTCGTAGTAGTGATTGCAACGGAACGACGACGCGACGCATTCGCCCACGCGTGGACCCCACTTGACCCACTAATTACACTATAGGCAACACAAAGAGTGCGTTAAGAAGTATTGACCAATTAACCAGGTTTTTATCTAATAACCACCTACTGTAGGCGTACGTGACGCCAGACGCTCATTCAGCCGTCTCGGTGGATGCTGAATTAGGGAATTCTTTTGTATATGGCGTTACGTAAGGAATACTATATAGTAATAGGTACTACGTTAAACGTATTACAAGCGTCCTTGATTTGTGCCATACATAATAAGCAAGAAACGATAGTAGTAGCAATTTTAATAACGAGATTACGAACGATTGTTGTTTTAAAAAATAGCAGCACAAGCATCTCGCCGAAAAGAAACAAAAAGAATGCCCCAGTTGATCCCAGTAAGCTGTTTCCCTCGTTATCATAAAAATGGTATTAATAAGAAAGTGTAGGTATGCTCTACTATTTTGAAACCGCTCGCTGTTAGGTTCGTAGGTATAAATACATTTGAAAATTGAAAATTATATCACGTTTGTAATATAACGTAATAAAACAACGCAACACCGGTTTAAACCCGTGAACCCTGAGCCGGATTGCGTTTTTGGTAGCGACATGGCAATGTAGAGTTTTCGAATTTACGTACGTATAAATATTTTGATTATAGTTCTCGAACTATTGAATTCCCTGAATTTGCTTGAATGAATTACTAATAAATAAATAAATAATTAATAAAAAAAATCATACAAGAAGGTTATAATAAATACGCTGATTTCTCTCCGTAATATACATACTCTTAATAAAAGTAGTAATACCATACATCCTTCCACTATCAAATTGGCGCGTGAAATCATTATATTAAAATTAGCGATAAGAACGTGATAAGTATGCAAAAAGCAAAATATGATTTTAGTAAAAAGTAAAATGCTTCAGATGGTACAAATGACAAATCAAGAAGACGAGGTGATCGCCGCTAGATAGAGCCCATTATCTGTTGGGTTTAATTTCTTACATGTACACGTACTGCGCGCGGCACACGATCGCACCTGGCGTCCTGGTGTTGAACGACGACGGGACCGACGCGACGAACGGTGCGCAAACAGTAGAGCAGGTACAAAGAAACTCGGTTTATCGTGGTACTAGAAGCACCAAGTTCTTCTCAAATACAAACATAATATTTTCCTCTTTCTATACAAATAAATGCAAAGGTGTTGAAATTTTAACGATTTCGGCCAACGGTAACGTTACTGAAAAAGTCAATTTTCCATTGAGCGATCTTGACGGCATTATGCCTTAACTAACACTTGCCTTTCTATCTCACTTTGTTAATTCATTAAAATATAGTAGGTACGTGTTTGACGACATTTTCAGCTCAGAACTTGAATGCGAAACATGAAATATCGAGTGGAGAATCGCAGAAAAATACAGCCTGCTCTACCCAGGGTACATAAATTGACAGGGACGGCTGCAGTCGGACCCAGTGCACCTACAAATCCTATACCATCCTAGCCTCTTTGCAATCCGATATAACACCAATCAATAGAGACCGCGATGAACATTTTATAAACGTACGTTTACCTGAGTGGTCAAGGACTCCTTTCACGGGAAATGATCAATAACACTGCAATCCATTTTGGCACTTTCGCTGCTTGTTTCCTTTCTTTGAATAATTATTGTTATTTGGAACTGTAATTAACAGAGCAATAAGACGAAAATATGTTCGCTCGTAGCGCCGTGCAAACGATAAATAAACATCTAACTAGGGCGTCGTCGTCGGTCAGCGGCGCGGGTTGCGCATGCGTATGTAAGTAACTACGAGGGACCCTCACTCACAGCGTCTAAGTACCTATTAACGTTCCGTAGGAAAAAAAGAAAATCTTTGGAATGTTCGACATGCGTTGCGTGGTGGTTTAGGAGCTGTCCTGCAAAATTATTAAGAAAATAAGCGATGTATTGGTAAAAATTACATTTACACTGAAATCACAATTATTATTCCCTCGCTCAGTGTTCAACTGAGGGAAAAGCAATTTTTTTCTTTCTTAGGAGCAGAATTTACTGTAGGTATGTCTAGACAGTGGGTATGTAAACGCAGTAAAGCCAGATGTAGGTTTTTTTTTTAATACAGTACCTAAATAAAGTTATAAAATAATGTGCATGAATGGAAATAGAGATGCTATTATAATGCAATGTACACATGCAATATTATAATATGTAAAACACGTCTGTGGAAATCGTATTATTCAGTAAATTGACACATATCTGCAGGTCGATGTCTAATTAGGGCTGGTTATATAAATTCAAAATCTGTATATTTCTGTGCGTTCATTTCATTCCTCTCGAAACTATAATTTTACGGATACTGTTGCGCATTCGGAAAATAAATTTATCTCAGAAGAAATCCAACGCGTTGTTCTTTTAAATAGGTAAAAGGGCACCATAAGGGCACGTTCCCCGTTCCCACTATGTCGTCACGTTTTATTATCGTTGGGGCGCGTTCCCACTAAGTTGTCACGTTTTATTATCGTTGGGCGACTGTCGTGTTTAGCCTAGTCCCATATCACGACGATCTGTCGTGGACGATTTTTTATCGTTGATCGACTGTCGTGACTAGCTGTGCCCACTAGATCGTGACGAAAAGTTATCGTTTTAAAAATTCGAAAGAGGAAGCAAACAAAGAAAAGAAAGTTTTGGGTACATCCAATGCTACTAATAAAAATTCCATTAGGGTTATGTCAAAAGATATACGAAGTTGCTTTCTTTTCGGTAATGTCAAAACCTGGGGGTCTACTCTCGATTTCCGTCCGAAACAATTACTGCCAAATAAGCAATACTTGACCAAATGAAATACGCGTGATGCGAATGAAGCTTCATACTTGATACTTGTCTTTTAATTTTGTTGAATATTACTTATTTGACAGTAATTGTTTCGGACGGATGTCAGGCGGAGATCGATAGTAGACCCCCTGCTACAGCCAGAGATGGGCAGTGGGTTAAAACCCAATCAACCCGCCCGTGTATTCACCAGGGTTTTACCCGAAGCGCCGAGTTTTAACCCATTTTTGCCCAAACTCGTGGGCAGAAACGAAGAGTACAGATTTGGTATAATTCCAACACTAACAACATAATATACAATAACTTGTAACAAATTTCTATATCTCCACATAATACTCACCACATGTCAATCCTGTGGATTCTTAATGAAGATCGATTCAAGTGCATACAATGTAACGATTTTTTGTATCAATTTATTGATGAACTTTTCAAGCGAATCTATTGAATAGAAAGGTAAATCGAACTGTCCTGATAATAAAGCAACAAATATTTTGTAATAATATGTACCTATAATTAAACTTAAACAAAACTCAATTGACAACAATATTTAGACGTAAATAGTTTTTGCCCTCGAGATCGAGTTTCGGGAACCCGATTTAAATCCGGCGTCAACTAAGCGCCGGGTTAAAACCCGGGCGCTTGCCCATCTCTCGCTACTGCAAAGCGAGCAGAGGGCGTGGGGTACGAGAGGGGAGGGCAGGGAGCAGAATGCGTGCGGACAGCGATAAATAAAACGTGACGACAATAGGAGCTGCGACAATCTGTCGTCGCGTTTTTATCGTGACGTTTTTTATCGTCAGACGACCGTCGTTCTATCTGTTCCCACTGTGACGACAGTTTGTCGTTGTAACGATAAAAAACCGCGAACTACAGTTAATCGTGTCGTGCTATATGTGAACAACTTCATTTAAATATACAAGCCACGACAATCTGTCGTCACGACATAGTGGGAACGCGCCCTTACGCAACCTTCGACTATGTAGTAGGTAGGTAATTTAAATTTTAATTTCTTTCACTTGTTTAGTATTGGGTGTATCCGGAGTAAATTGTCGGTCGCGTAATATCACGTCGGAAACATAGATAACTAAGAACAATAACATTTAACGCGATGGACTCGGTCTTAGGTTTGAACCGCACTATGCGACGCGAACGGTAACAATCCGCTGTCCGAATGAACTGCACACATTGAAACTGTACGATTGCAATGCGATTGTTACATATAGTAATTATTAGTGCTTGTAATATAGTAATTATAAGATTAGTATACCATACAAGAATATTATTATTCCTCTTGTTTAATGCTTTGGAAATAATAGTTATTTGACATGAAGTAATGCACATCTCATAATATTTTCACAACCATCATTCTTAATAAAGTAGCTAACGAATGCAAAGACTTCTTAGGTAAAAAATGGATTTTTACTTCTAAAATAGTCAATTTACGTGGCGTAGCTGTGTGCCTTCGTTAACCGTCACATTTGTTCAATGTGATACGCAGGGGTTATAGTCCAGGCGCAACTTATTCGGGTTAAGTTATTTGGGGTGCCAACCGGCTCAGTTGTTCAGTTTATTTGCCACTGACAAGAACAACGTTTCACAAAATGGACCTTATAATAAAGTAGGTACTCGTATAGGATTGGTCGATCGTACAATGACATGTTCCTATCGTTTTTTTCCATAGTATTATGTTCTTCTCAAAACAACACTGTGCCTGCTCTAAATGAAGCAAAAAAATAACGTTGATACATATTATACTTACATATTATTTTTTTATTATAATATTAACATTTTATTATAACTGAATGTGAGATTTATAATGTCACATAATTATGTAATAGCTGGTACTAGTTCTAAGCTATAAAATAATAATAATAAAGAAAGCAGATGTCTTTTACGCCGAGGCGCCGGTGCTTGATGCCTCAGTTCGCGGGTACCAGTGGCGGCGCGCTGAGCAGACCCGTCACACAAAATGCCACAGCCGGTCGTCGAGAGTCGAACTGCAGGTGGGCTTACGACGTCGAAGCTACATTGGGCGATGACACTATTTCACTATTCTCATCCATCCCTTCAACTTGCCCCTCTTACATGACGAGGCGAACACCTACTGTATCTACTGTTTGTTCGCTTGAAGTTACTGTGCAGGATGTCAACCTTGACAATGAGCTTGCGCCCACCCAAAGCGTACCAGGAAAACGCAGACGATGGACAGATGAAATGAACAAATTCATTCTGCGTACTTATCTTGAATTAACTGCATTAGACACTGACACAAAAGCCTACTTTCCATCCTTAATACTTGTCGCATTGTCAGAAGGTTCTTGCAGATGAAAGGAGACGAAGTAAGCTTTTGTTACACACCACCATCACCATCCACATAGACATGCTGCATTTGCTTGATTTCGGTCCACAAGTGTGGTAAGTGTGGTGTAACAAGCTGAGAAAAAGAAAGAAAATAATAATAATCTGTTAGGCCTTGGGAGAGGCGAGAGTCTAAAATAGATATAATAATATAATACTCAGGACCTCAGATTACAATTGTAATCTTCCGAAGAATTCCACTCCTTTAGTACAAATCCATAGCACATTATCCGAAATGTAACAAAAAATATCACAATACAATTTTTATGTATATGTAGCTTTACGGCTCGGAGCTGCACTTTTGAGCTTCTTGGGACGTTCCTCCACAGTCTGTGACCAGCTGGTGGTTGGTAGACTCATCCCAAAGATGGCCGCATAATGTTCCATAATGTACTAGGTAACCATACCTACCTATTACACGCTACTCAGAACACCCAAACAAGAACCAATTCAAAAAGTTCGTTTCTAAGTTGGTCCCGGAGGTTCAATTGCAGGTAGGGCCTCCTCATCTGGCGCCCATAGTGTTAGCCGCTGGGCCACCGAAGACATCAAACGATCAGGTTTGCACTTGGCGTTGTTCAAACTGTTTTTTAAATATGTTTAATCAAGTTAGATTACTAACTTTCCAGACCGAAAAACAATGTATAATGAGCGAAAGCGGTTTTTGAAAATTATGATGTGAAATCTAAGAGCCGCACAAGGTCGATGCAGAATAATTAATAAAAAATAATAATCCAAGGTCATTGTCAAAAAGAGACAGCCGATATAACAAAAGTGGAGTAATTGTGTGTTTTTATAAGAGGGGCCGGGAGGGGGATGAGGGTAGATGCCATCTGCGAGAGGGGGAGATCGATGTCGTGCGACACTCCGGCGCCGCAGACTCCGACAAGGGCACACCGAGTGTAAGATCTCAACGGACAATTTACCATCGCTTTTCAATTCTTTTGTACACACGTTTAAGATTGTATGAGAATGGGAGAGAATAAATGATTAATTAGATATTATACCTTTTAAAGTTGAAAAATTACATGAATAAAACGCACAATATTGTACAAATGGAAGAGAAATATATAGAATCTTATTGTTATAGGATTACCATAATTATAAATTTTTATTTCATTATAATTATGCTTCTTCGTCTTATAATTTATAATTTAAATTTACGAGTCTCTTAAACATACCTATAAGCTGTTCGCCGCCAGTAAGCTTTCTTTAACACTGTTTTTTAAATTTGTGGTAAAACCATCGCAACCCGTTTGACCCATAACGTAACCTTTATCCCGATCCCAGTGCGTCCCCGCCCTTGCGGTTTACTCTCTCCGTGCGTGTGCGAATCTCCGGCAGTGCCACCCGCACCGCCTCGCCACCAGCCCACATCGTTGCTTCACCATCACCAGTGCGAATTGTTACTGCACCAATTCTTTTATTATATCCCTAATACTGACGGAATGGAAGAACTGGAATTTCAATTCGAGAAGGCGTGATGTTTTAAGTAGGTATGTATTATATACTTTCATTAAATTAACGAAAATATTGTTGTTTTCATGAGGAAATTCAAGACAATTCAATTATTGAAACTTATTCCAAGTACCAAGAAAAGCTTTTTGTTTTCCAAGTAGGTACCAAAGAAACCTCTTCTGTATCTTATTTTATCCTTTATTTATGCAGTTAAGCCTTTTGCCAGTTTTACCTTCAAGTTTATAATCTGTGCCTATATTGTTCTCTTAAATATTTATAAATAAAATTTGGATTTTCCTACCTTTCTATTGTAACTGGTAAATTCCGCTGGCCGTGACCCGCATCCCGCCAGTGCTGGCGCTAGCTCACAGTTTCAGCAGCCGCCACTCGCCATTCGTCGCTCCCTAGTTGCTACTTGCCACTCGCGATGCCTTGACCTACTTCATGATATTATCCTGACCACTTATTTAACATACAAAAACTTTTTTCGTGCTGCAATTGCGTTTCTACAATACACTTAACTGGTTCAAGGTTATATTGATTCTACTTTTTTGTTGTTTGTTAAGTAAATGTATTTTGAGACAAGCAAAAGCTACAAAATACATATCAACTCAACGTCCTATAAAATTGTAACAATTTTTTTTCATTTTGTGTATAAATATTTTCTTCAGTGAATTTATTATTCATAATAGGTAATAAATAATACTTCCTGCAGTCTTTTATGCAGTGCATAAAAGGTTAGGTATTGGTAGCGCCAACTTTTAATGCTCATGTTGTCACTAGAAGAAATTGGTTATTGAAAATTCCGTAACGTGACAATGTTCAAAACAATAACCTTTAATACATAGGGCGCACTATAAGTTTCCGGAACTGGCCATTTACATAAACAACATTTAAAAAGTAATTAGAACATTTGAAAATTGAACTCTTTGGCTGTAGAATACAGTTTGTTTGTTTCATCTGACTGTCACTTGTTTTTACATCATGACATCATTTTAGAAATTGGTTGTCTACATCACCATGGATTTAACTCGTGAAAATTTTCGTAGTATGATTTACTACGACTTTAAGTGTAATTTAACAGCTGAGCGGAGCTTCCCTCGGCTTCAAACTGCTTTTGGCGATGAAGCACCATGCAAGACGACTAATTATAGCTGGTTTGCAGAATTCAAACTCGGTCGTGTGAATCTCAGTGACGAATTTCGTGATGGTCGCCCGTCCACTGCTGTGAACTACAAAAACATCGATGCTGTGCGCCGTACGATCAAAACAGACAGGCATGTGACATACCATGAGATTCGGGCATCTTTAGGCATAGGCATGAGTCAAATACAATCCCTACTATACAAACGTTTGGGTGTGAAAAAGCTGTGCTGTCGTTGGATCCCACACAATTTGACTGAGGCTCAAAAAACGGATCGCGTCACTTGATGCAATGCCATGCTTACCAGAATCAACGACGGAACGTCAAATTTGGTGTGGGACATAGTCACAGGTGACGAAATATGAATTCATAGTTACGATCCCACAATAAAGCAGCAATCGAGTGTATGGGTATTTCGAGACAAGTCGAAACCAACCAAAGCAAACGCGTGCAAAGTGCCTCTAAGCGGAAGATTGCTTCTTTTTTTAATAAAACTGGTCACGTGGCTACTGTTGCTTTGGAGAATCGTTATACCGTGAATAGTGATTGGTGCATTTGCAACATTTGTTTGCCGGAAGTTATTAACAAACTCCGTAAAAATAACCGTAATACGCCATATCATCTTGCACCACGATAATGCCAGTTCTCACACGGGCAGACCGATTAATGAATTTTTTAAGGTGAACAACGTTGACCTTATGAGGCTCTCATGTACAGTCCGACCTGGCATCTTGTGACTTTTATTTATTTCCAAAAGTTAAGAACCAGTTAAGCGGTCAACGATTTTCATCACCCGAAGAGGCTGTCGAAGAGTATGAAAAATATGTTTCAGAGATTGTCACGGAGGAGTGGCGTAAATGTTTTAAAAATAAAGGTTAATTCATATGAAAAAGTGCTATTTTGAGAAACAATAAATTAATTTATTAATATATAAATTAATTTCTGACCATTTATACTATTTTTTTCTTATTCATTCCGGAAACTTATAGTGCGCGTCACGTATAGCTACTCCGCTGAGACAACACGCGATGGCGGCGGGGCTGGGCGGCGCAGCGGGCGGCGTGCTGGCCCTCGAGGTTTGTGCGCCGCTGCTGCTCCTCTGCTGGCTCTGCTGCTGGCCTGCCGACGATCACTCTGGTGCGTGATTCACTCGGACATTTAGTTTTTAATTCGAGTTCATTAATGTGAATACATGAAGGTTATGTTTCAGAAACATCTAGTTCGGGCAAGCCGCCCCGGAAACCAGTGGTTTTGCATGGTGAGTAAGCCTAGCTGTTCACCTTTATGCATTTTATTTGAGCAAATACAATGCCAATTCAATTTGCGACGATTACTTACACTCAAAAGTTTTCAGCCTAAGTTCAGTCTCCCTCATAATAAGCTGCCATTTGCGGATCTAGATTGCCTACATCCATCAGTTCCTCGCGACTTCGCGACGTCGCTTCGAAGACTGATCACTTTTACAACTGTTCCAGGGCGCAGTTCGCGTCGCCAATCGAGCGATCTGTTCGGCAAGCGAGTGGGCAGCAGCGCCGCGTCGCTGCATCTGCCCAGCACATCAGGTTCGTACACGTTGCGATTATTGAAATGAAATAATCGTTACAAGCGTACTTACCCTCCACACGTAGGTACCTAAGACTCTTGTAGAATAATTTGTGATAATTTTAATTGATGGTTTGTACAATTAGTTTTAATAAAGGTTTTTCCACTACAGGGCACTCTAAGCAGTCTCTGAAGTCACACCGAAGCCACGAAGAGATCCCGCGCCGGCGCCAGTCTCAACACCTCGATACCAAAGACGAGGACCCGCGGTACCATTCAGCGCCTAGCGTCATCGACGAGGTGTGGCACATAGACGTTGTTCCATAAATAATAACAGTGATTTAAACGACAATGTTAATTTTGACACATAGGTACTAACTATTGCAGACCACCCTACATACTTAGTTATGATTTGTTGTGCGTACCTATGTAATAACCGCGAACAGTCAAGAACAAAAAATCTGTTTACTTAGAAACATTACAAAAATGATAGGATAACATTACTTGTATACTCATTTGTGAAGTTTGTCATGATGCAACAAATTTTGAAATTATATTTTCTCCGTATTCATTTAATTGTAGGTGATTCATCGAAGAGACTGGGAGCGGTCGACGAAAGACTTGTACATTCCGCTAAAGCCGGACATCCAAGTCCAGCAGGACTCAGACGACAGTCCCGAAGCACCTTGCGCAGAACCAGAATCCAGCTCTATCGAATGTAAGAGTGAGGAGAGACTCTCCGTGACCTGCAAGAAACATTACGCTAATATTAAGTCATCGAAACACAGAAACAAGAAAGAACTTGCAAGAGATAACGAAAAAGACACTGACGCCACTGAAAGCAGCTCCTTCTACATTGGAGATATAAAGAACGACGATTGTACTATTCAGAACGATGCTGGACAAACCGTAGCGACTTCGGAGAAAGTAAAATCAGTGTATAAAGCGAAGGACGCAAAACAGTCGTTCAATGAGTTGATCAAATCAAAAGACAGGTCAAATGTAGATCAAGATTCAGCTAATGATTTCGCGCGCCTGGAAGGATTCAAAACGAAGATGTTTGACATCGATGCAGATTTGTACTTGGACGAGCTGGACAGGTCCGGTGCCAGACATTACATGGAGTCTCGTACAAGTCTATATCCCTGCGTCTCTACGTCACCGTTCCCACCGGCGTCTGTCGGTAAGTCTGTTTATTTTCTTTTAATCATCTGATCATTTTCTTACAAGTTCACCGTTCTTCATACTTCTAAGTGTCTAATCAAACGTGGCTTGCGTGCACCAAGCAACCGACGACTCGCTCGCACGATCTACTGCTAATTATCGCTCTTCAGAGGCTGACGACAGTAGAGTTTCTTAAATATATTTTTATGCTCTTACCCACCAATGGCTCTATTCGTAGCTTATCTAAAAACCTGACGAGATCAAGGAGTTCGGCACATCAGCTAATGTGTAATGTGACATATGCACCGTACCTTTCCGTTGTGTCGCAACGCGCCATGCGCTGCCCGTGGCCGTGCTCGGTGCGAGCTTGCAAGCGCGTGGCTGTGCAGAGGCGCTGGGCGGCTCGCGCGGCGCGTGCGGCGCGGCCGCGGCGGGTCCGGCGGCGCTGCGGCGCGCGCGCCACGCCAGCGACGGGGACATCCTCGCCGCTGCGCCGAGGCCCGAGTCGGGCGCCTTCTCCGGTAAACCTCTGTGTAGCTGCAGTCTCTTAGGTGGTTGCTCGGCAAAACCAGCAACTTGCGTAGTGACTAACGACTGTACAGTTGGTGCGATACGCCTTACGGCACCGGGACGGCACGACCGTCGTCGTTTAATCCTAGTTAATACGCATGTTAGCGGAGGATTTTCTCTACTAAATTCTAAGCTTCAAATGCTATATATCTAATATTTAATTCCTATTCAAAACATCTAATTATTAAATAAAAGGGGGTATACTTATTTATTGGACATACAAGCCCAGAAAGTCAATATCTATTAGTTTTCACACTCTAAAACAAGTATAATATTCACATTAGAATAGGTACCTGGTACATACCAGGTAAGGCATAGCAATAATTTATTACACATTTGTAAGGAAATTGCAGGGTACTAAACCCTGAATTTCGATGGAACAATGTATACACAAATTCACAAAGAAATACAATGACAATAAAAGTGAAATAGTGATTACTTAACTTACTTACTGCTCAGCAACCGAACTCAATAAAAATTCTTTTAAATACCATGAGCAAGCCCTTTTATACAGTACAAATACCACTCCTGTGGTTGGTTTATCCAATCAGAAAACGAGATTGCTTTGCGGTGTGGCGCCACTGGTGGCGCCATTGGTTTTTATAACATAATTTTATTTCCATTAAAAACAGTAATGATAGGATTCCGTGTATATATATCTATATAAATATCAGGACATTTAAGTAACATTTTTAAACAACATGACTTAAGCCAAACCTATGATATATGTATAAAAGAATGGAAACAATGATAAAATATTTATCAATAAGTTGAAATGTATTCACATGACAAGTCGTTTTTGTACTTTAATTATGAAAATTACATTTTAGACACGTTTAATCTTCCTGTAAATAAAGTTTATTACAATGAATATTATTTCTAGTAATTACAATTTGATAAATTACGTATAAATTTAATATGTATCTCACACATACATTTAGATGTGAACAAACAATCCCATTTGTTGAAAGTATAAATAGGTACATTTGTGTTGTATTGTGTGACGTTACAGAGAGCGATGTGGAGCTGGAAGCCGCGTTGTGCGAAGAACGACCGCCGCCGTACCACGAGCTACAGCACTACGCTGCCGGGGACAGGAAGGAAACCGCCATTTAAACGATCGACACCTGTTATAAGTCGCACCTTGTTACTCCGTAGCAAAACAAACGTAGACACAATGACTAATTAAGTTAAAAAGACAAAAATATCATCAGCTGAATTTGTGTATATTTAATAAAGAAAAACATTTTACTTAGAACGAAGCGAAGAATAACAAACTCAAGAATATTACAAGTACCTTGACTTACTTGATTGAATGTTCTAGGTCCCTCAGGTGGGGCAGAAGACGTCCGCAATGACCCGTCATCTCGTCTTCATTGGATTACTTGTGTCACCTTGGGCCTGTTAACCCGATCGACTGCCCTTCTGGCACTGCTGAGCGCCGCCACCGCCAGGGTTGTTTAGGGCGGCCACGTATTCTGTTTTTTGTCAAGGTTCACTCTAAGGCTTTTTTATATAGCTATGTAAAAGTGTGCTGGATCCAGGCCCACTATGGTTATATGCTCTGATATCTGACCGGAGCATTTCGCGACAGAGTGCCAGAGGGTTATCAATAATTATGAATGAGGTATGTTCGGGCCAGAAATTCCGTGGTATATCTAACACAAGCAAATTCCATTGAGATTTGAATTCGAAACACACTCACTATCTATCCATCTATACACTTGTTATCGTTAAATTTGTAAAACACCTACCTAGGGCAGATTCCCCTTAGCAACAAAATTGTAGGGGTCACTCTTTGTAAATAGACACTTCTTCACATTTACCATTCACAATATTTATTTCAAAATGTCTTATTTACCGTCCTGAAAGAGCTAAAGGTGTATCACTTCTTGGATTTTTTCATCCTAGTACTTACATCAAATATGCAGAACAAAAAGAAAAACAGAGGTTAATTAATTATAAGTTTGAAGCCTTTGTGTACCTGTGTGTTTGTATGTCTGTCGTGGCGTCGCAGTGCCCAAACGGATGCACTGATCTCAAAGCGGTTCCTTTTATATAAAGGCTAAACTAATCAAGATGGCTCTTAGCAATGTAATCAGTAGCTAACTACTGAAAGATCATCAGCTCTTTTCCCAGTTTAGTGTAGAGATCTCAGTCATAAAATGATTATGTATTCCACTTCCATATTACAATAATATGGCCATTGTGATCTGGTACTGACACCAGGAGAGTCTCCAGACTACCCAACTCCTAATCTAACTTACAGTAGAACTGTCGTGTTTGGGCTCATCAAAATTGACCTCGACGACTTGTTAGCCCACAGGTGGTACTTTATTGACTTTTTGGACGTACACTGTTTTATATATGGGTTTTTAATTTTTAATTATCTGGAGCCCACTTTGTAAACCAGGCTTCTGCAGGCCGAATGTACTATTGTTTTGTATTACCGTCTGTGGCATTTCCTCGTAACAAAATGGTCTACGCCATCTGGTAACAGTTGACAAAAAATTGAATTTGCATGGGTGATGTTCAAGGTCATCTTCACGGTTCACGTTTATTTTGAGTTTCACACTACGGGTACATTTCCGAGAGTCGTATTCCAGAACTCTACTCAATACTCAAGTCAGGACTTGAGTATGATTTAAAGCACTGAAAATCATATTCAAGTCCTTGCCATTAGGGTCATATTTCCAGTGCTTGAAATCATACTCAAGTCTGCTCAAGTCCTGACTTGAGCATTGAGTAGAGTTCTGGAATACGACCCCATGACTGTCATCCTAGAAGTAGTTCTTTTCGTTACCTCCAGATCCTGACTCGACTTACTTATTTGGAGGTAAATATCTCTAATTTTTATTTGCTTGTTGTTGTCTTTGAGCTGGAGCACATATTTCAATTCTCATCAATTTAATCATTTTCTTAACTTAACTTTGAGTCAAATTCGTCGCGAAGAATGGCTCGAATCATGGACATTCTAAATAACGTTGATGTTAAATTAACTAGTGACTGTTGTCATACCTTGTACATTTACTGCGTACCTAAAACCTACCTAAAAGGTACCTAAAAGTTTTACGCCTTTTTGTAAATAGGTATGTACCTAACTACTAAAACGGTTTAGCTAAATATTCAAAATTATTTTGACGTTGTTGATTTGAAATAACGTTCAATTATTTTTTTTATCGTTTCGTACTCATTATTGGTTAAAGTCAATTATAAGCACTTTTGCACGTTTATTGTTAAAATGTCAAATAAATGTAAATAATTTACCTATTGTTAAGTATATTTGTTCAATTAAAACTAAAACTACGGTGTTGTCGCATTTCATAGAAATGAATGCTTTTACGCCTTAGATATGTCTGCTATATGTATAGTACCTAATAAAATATGTTATAAAAACCAAAACAATTGTTTTCCTATTGCAATTGATATTTTGTATATAGTTAGACAAGGTTTCAAATAAATACTTATTGTTCGTAACATTTAAATGTTTTTATTTCAGTAGACGCGGACGTCTTGATGAGACTTTATTCGGTACACTCACAAAATTATATTTTTGGGAGTGTACCGTAAAGCGTGGCGATTCGTCAAAGAAAACCTTTACTTTCAAAGTAACATATATTTATTTTTCAAACTTTATAGAAATAGGAACACTTTGACACAACATTGATAACATAACATTTGGTACGTGTAGAAAATACATTATGCATAGTTGACTAGAGTACGACGCGCTTTACAAAAGGATACAAATAGCTTGGATTCTAACCATATTTTAGTTATTTCTGTTTTTAAGTAACATCTTAAACATATCTTAAGCAATTCAATACTGCCCTCGCGGCCTCGGAACGAAAAGGGGCACAACTAACATTTTTATAAAAATTTACTTAGTACTTCTGTACTAAATCTATGGTTACATAACATATTCGGGATCAGGAAATGAAGGTCAATCTAAAAATTTTTTCGTGGAAATATATTATTAGAGAATATAAATTATATGATATGAGATTATATTATACATAATGTTGAATATACAGCAAGCTCAAGTACTTAGCTGAATTCAATAAGATCATAATCAGATTTTCAGTTCATTAGGTTAAAAACGCTAATACCAAAGGATTTAACTTGTAATGTACGAACGATGCCCTAAATAAATAGTTCAATCACAACGGGTATCGTAACACAAAAAAGGCACAACTGAGTGAATTGTGTGAAATGAAAATTGTGCCCTTTAGTTCTATTCATGAGTCAAATGTTAAAAGTCACGATAAATTAGTTATGCCCTTTATACAAAGTTATAATATTATTATATTTTTTCTACTAAGTTAAAACAGAAAATTAAGATATTTTAAAAAACAACTAATTAAAATACAATGAAATATTTTGTATAAAACATGGGGTATGTATTTACAACTTATATGAACTACTTAGTGTCAAATGTACATTTTAATTATTCTTTTTTTTTAACGGCAGAATACAAATCAATGCTTTGTTATAAAAAGGTTTTGATAAATTGGGAATAGAATACTAAATGTATAATTCATATTTATTTTGTTACATAACTATGTATCTGGATTGTACACCAGAAACAATATTAAAATGCATTTTGTTGCACCAAACTATAACACTTGAATATATACAATTAAATTCATTTTAGGACACTGAAACGCTGTGCGGATCGGACATTTCCAAGGATTGACACTTTGGGCTGGCACTAGGTGCATCATATTGCATATTCTCTTCACTGATGGGAACCAGTGAGTGCAAATCTTCTTCAGACTCCACTCCAGCCAGAGCAGCGCGAGAAAGATGGGTCCTTAGACCAACCTTCATCTTTGTCCCGAACATAGCCTCGAATGGAGAACAATTAATATCCCTGTGGTAACTTTTATTCTTCATCATTTGGACGAAGCGCAGTCCTTCCGACCACTTGTAAGTATTGTTTGCCATCAACCAATTATTAAGAAAGTTTTCTATCTCTTGTTTCATAGATTGATTTCTAGATTGGTCCTTTCCATGAACCAATTTCAATTCAGGCCACATACTGGAAATTTCACCAACAAGTACTTTGGCAAATTCCCTACTGACCCCACTCTGGAGGATGCATGGTGCACCGAAAATCGCAAAAATATCCAACAACACGTGAGCTACTTCCTCGGCCGTACTAGTTTTAAGCGGTCGAAGCTGAATAAACTTTGTACGATCATCTTGATAGATCAATACGAACCCCCATTGCTCATCAGCCCTCGATTGCATGTCAATTACATCAATATAGCACCTCATATTTGTTTTGTTGATCAAAGTCGGGGTGGCTACAACTTCATTGTCAAGGGGCCCATTTTTCTTCGTTGTGTACTGCTTTCCGCATACAGTACAAAGGTTTAGATACATAATGATGACTTCTCTTGTGATATTTTTGTAATACTGATTTACATATTTGTCCATTCGGTTTCTACCACCATGGTTAGTGTCCACAGTGTGAGCTTTGTGTAATATGTCAAATATTTCTTCCGTATGGACGTAACACCTGATTGTACTTTTGCTCAATGGACTGGGAACTATGAGTTTCTCAGTCCCATCAGCCATCTTTACTACCTCAAACCTCTTCAGCCGTTGATAGTGCTCAGGTCTCTTGTGGTTTTGTACATTTTGCGCTTCTTTTACTTTTTCTAAAAGTTCAAAATAAGCAGGTTTCGTGTAAAGTTGCGCATTGTGGTTTTTCAACATTAATAATTCGTTCAAACGCTTGTTGAATTCTCTTTTCATTTCGCTTACGTTAATTTTATCCATAGTTTCAAGCTGAATAAACTAACTACGAGTCGCTATACGATGTTGTCCAGTAGATGACACCGCTAACGCGCTTCAGATTCAATGTTTATGTTCGCAAAATAGGAAAGACATACCTACCTAATTTAAGTGCGTTTCAATCCATTTTGGATAAAATCGTAAAGTAACCGGTTTGGTTAAAATTCTTAAGCAATCACCCGATAAATGGAATAAGTAAGATATTCAAGTATAGTATTTTGAACGTTTGAATTTCATATTCAGCTCTTTTTGCAACAGTTTTCGTATGAATAACATTTTAAAATCATTTTGACAAATCTTTGTTTTTTTTTTTATTTTTTTTTTTTATTTATTAAGGC